TCTTATTTTTATATATTTTCAATTTTTCACTTCTATTTAAATCTTTTTTCCAAAAAAAATCATGATAGTTTTACTTTTTTACTACTCAGTGACATTGTAAAAAAAACAATAGAAAAAATATTTTATCTTCACGTCTTATATTTATAGAGTTTTATCTTCTCCCAGTCACCTTTTTTAACATTTAAACTATAATTAAATAAAATGATATTATGAATTTATTTTTTAAATTAAATTTAATAAAATTAATCTTATATCTATATATAATACTCCTCTATCCCATTTTAAATGACTTGTTTTTCTTTTGTTATCTTAAACTTTTAATAGTAAATTTAAACCACCCTAAAATAAGTCATTCTTCTTCATCTTATCTTCTCAAAATTATAGTAAAAATATTTACTTAATTTATAGTCAAAATTTAACAATTTTGATTAAAAATAGGAAAATTTTTCCAGAATAATCCCAACTTTCACCTGTCTTCCAAAAATAATCCCAACTTCTCTCTTTATTTATAATAAGCCGAACTTCTTTAATTTTTATCCGTTTTGGGCCTCCGTCTAAACACTAACTCTGCCTTAACGGGAATTTGACGTGGCTTTTACACGGTGGATGTTTTACGGTGCCATGTAATTATCATTGATAAAATGTCAAAACGCAAAAGATACCAGCTTGAACCCTAATTGGAACGAGGTAGAATCGCTTCAATTGAAGGCTTTCTCTCACTGCCTGAAGCTAAGGGTTTCGCTCGGCACAAGGTAATAGACACAAATAGTCAGTACGTACTTAAGAATTCATTGCAGATTAAATTTCTTATGGTTGAAATTTGATTTCAATTTCAATTCATCCATGGAGGTTGAATTGTAGAAACTTAGATTGACTTTCAATCTATGATTACGCTTGGAAGTTGGGTGAATACCATGCTTCAAGGATCAGTAATTGTTTCCATCTGCTCACCTTTAGTCCAGCTCACTTTTGGGAAGAGATGCCTTAATGTGACCAGCTGAGATTGATTGGACTTAGCTTTGGCCTTTCTTTTAAATGTTTCTACGTTCATGGATTCTTTTTCTTTTGTTTGTTTCTTGGTGTATCACTGTTATTTTAGATGTTTTTTCTGTTTGGCTCTTTTGTTGGGGCTTGAGCAACCCTTTTTTTTCTTTTCTTCTTTTTAATAAAAATTCTCTTTAACAAAAAAAAAATGTGACTTGTGCGATTATTTCAGGTTGGTGCATCAATCTTTGGAAGGGAGAAGTAGGAGTATACTTGTAGTGCTCAATGGGGTCTACATCCAAACAGTCACCATCCTCTAAATGCAACTTCTATTGCAAAAAGTGTAAATCATATACGAAGGTTGATTGCCATTTAGCTTTATATGCCACGCACCTTGTGATGAAGTATTTGAACTTCTCTTTTACAGCATCTTGTATATCTTTTGCAGGCCAATGTGGTTTGGCTTTGAAAACATCCAAAAATTCTTTTGCTATCCATTTAGAACCAAGTTGACTATTATTTTTCATGTCTCTATGACAAGTATGTGTAATTGCCACTTTTTTGACCACATGCACACCCTTTCTAGAATGCCAAGAACCAACTATTTCAAATGGACATCCTTGAATACATCTCGCACCCAATCTTTCATTTCTATTTTTATTGCTAACATTAAACACAAGGTTTCTGCCTTGGAATATTCCATACCTTCGAACTACATCCCTAAACAATTCCCTATTGGGAAACCTCATTCCTAGTTGCCAAACTAACTTTGAGAAATCAGTGTGTGCATCAATAATGGGGGTTGACTTTTTCCTCTTTTTTCCACGAATGTCATCCTCCTCACTCTCTCCTGGGGTGTTAGCATACTCATCAGAATCCTCATACTCTGATACAAGATCCCGGGCTTCTGTAGTAGCAGCTTCTAGGGTTGAATTTGGAGTTTGTATAATGAAATTAACAATTCCATCCACTTTTGCATTTTCTTTGTCATGCCAATCGTTGAACTTTCTTCTCGCATCCCTACACTCCTCATCATCAGTGTCACTGTCAGCCCCTAATAGTACCTCATCATTAGGCATCTCCTCTTCTAAATCTCTCATATTAGTCTCTGAAGAAGACCCCAATATCTCATCCTCAACACATGTCTCAATTCCATTCCTTTTATTAAGCCCGGTCAACTCTTCAGTGTCTTCCCCTTGTTCGTCTTCATCGTGTGAATCTTCCTCTGAAATGTCAAGTTCTGTAGACTGAACCATTTCTTCTTCAATAAAATGAGATGGGCAGAATGTAGAAATACTGGAAGTCTTCATAGGAATTTTGCTCTGTTGAATTTTGTCAACAATAGGACTAGTATCTCTTCTATTTTGGTTTGAAGCACAAGCAGAAAAAATTTTAGTCTGGTGCACAACATATAAACAAATAACATTACCACTTTTTTCTCCATCTGTCACCATTTCAATTGTCTCTTTGTCACCATATATTCTCTTCAACCCTTTATCCAAATCACAGCTTGGCTTTGCATAATACAACTCAGAAACAGGAGGATAATCTCCACAATCTTTTGCCCAATCAAGAAGATCAAAATAACCAATTTTATCTGGATCTACATCGTCTAGAACACAAGTGTTACCTCCGACATACTCTATAGTCCGTCCATGCTTCAAATTTCCACCATAATTGTATATGAGCTTCATCGGAAAATTCACAAAGAGTGAAACCTGGTGTCTTCTGCGTTAGAGAAAACCTTCAATTGAGAAAGCTGGAGCTAGGCAATTGTACGGGTTTCCAATTAGGGTTCTACATCTAATGGAAGCGTTTTTATTAATGATAATTACTGGGCACCGTAAATTATCCACCGTGTAAAAGCCACGTCAAATTCCCGTTAAGGCAAAGTTAGTGTTTAGACGGAGGCCCAAAACAGATAAAAATTAAAGAAGTTCAGCTTATTATAAATAAAGAGAGAAGTTGGGATGATTTTTGGAAGACGGGTGAAAGTTGGAATTATTCTGGAAAAATTTTCCTTAAAAATAACGGTGGGGTTCTAGTGACACCGGAAAATGGTGCCAAAACGGTGTCACTGCATTTTTGGGGCACCTCCGGTGCTCCGTTCGTAAAATTGATGGTTCCTAACCCCCCTAACCCACCTCCTAAACCCCCCATGCTACCCCATCCCTGCACCCCACTCCAACCCCACCGTAAGCCCCCCACAAAATGTGTGTCTATTATGCAATGCATAATAGACACACATTTTGTGGGGAGCTTACGGCGGGGTTGGAGTTGGGGTAGGGTGGGGAGTTTAGAAGATGAGTTAGGGGGTAGGAATCGTCAATTTTACGAACAGAGTACCAGAGGTGCTCGAAAAACACAGTGGCATCGGAGTGCCACCGTTCTCCGGTGTCACTAGAACCGGGCCTTAAAAACAATCAAAAGTTAAAAACATTCATGGAGGAAACATCACTTATGATATAAACTAAATAAAATTAAATTTCCAATGAAAATTAATTATAATATATCAAATTTTTATAATATTTAATTATTTGGTATTGTATTTAATTCATGATCAAATTATAAATCAAATTGATCAAAAAATCATATAATCATTTTGAAATAAGAATATTTTAAAACCATGCTTTAAATTATTCTCTATGACTAATATTTTTTTTTCTTAATTTAATTTTGTAACTTATTTTTTGAACTATGCTCATAGATTATAATAAAAATATTCCCCACCATTTTTGTTTTGATTATAATTTTAATTTCTTTCTGCTTTAGATAACTTTAGTTAATTTATGATTTTATTAATTATTTAATAAAAACAAATTTCACCTTTTATTTTATAAAATTTGGGACATAATTTTTTTATATAATTTTTTTGTTATGTTCAAATTTGTTAATAAAATAATTTTAAAAATCACAAAATTTTATATTATAATTCTCATTTTGTAATCAAAATAAGAATATTAAACTGTAAAACTAATTCGATATTAATACTCCCTCCATCTATGTATGATTTTCTCATTACGCGTTACGAGGTTTGACCGACTTTAATTTCAATTCAATTTAATTGAATATAGTAGTAAAATTTTAAAATTTATATATTAATAAACTATATGAAAAATTTTATAAAATTAGAGATGACAAGACTATATTATTTTATGAAAGGACTAGTAAAATTAAGCAAACAAAGTGAGTAAAATTTAACTCTGAATAATATTTGGAAAGATTTTTTAGTAAAAATAAAATATTCTTATCTCTTTTACACTGTAAAACAAAGTAATATTTCTTCTCTCAAAATGGTTTCCTCATTTACTACTCTCTCCGTCCGCCTAAGATGTTCTCATTTTGACTTTTGATAGTTTTTAAAGAGAATTAAAAAAAAGTGAAAGTTTACCATAATACCCTTAATGAAAAATGGATAGAATGTATTAAATAATGTAAGTGAGGTGTAATAAATAAAGTAAGTGGAGATAGTTGTGGTATTTTACTTGTTAAAAAAAGAAATGAAAAGATCTATTGTGGACAAAAAAAAGCTATTGAAAAGATCTATGGTGGACAGGGAGTACAAAAAATCAGAGAAACTATTTTTTATTTGTGTTTTTCATTGATTTTTTAGTAAAATAAAATATTCTATCTCTTACTCCCTCCTTCTCTAAATAAAGTTCCTCTTTCGTTTTTTATTTGTTCCTAAATAAACTTCTTTTTTCCTTTAAAAAACATCTTTTACCCCTTACTTTTCCATACCCTACATATCACATCATACCTTTTTTACTAATAACCTACTTATCACATCTTACTTTTACACATCAAATCAAAAGTATTTTTAAAAAATCAACACAAAAATATCTCTCCCTTAAATCCTCAAAAAAGTCAAAAATGAAACTTTATTTAAGAACATAGAGAGTATTATTTTATGAAATTTTGGATTAACTTTTGACATACAATAAAATAAATTAAAAAATTAAAAATCCTATTTCATCTTGTATAAAGAGTAAATGATATAAGAACAAATAAAATTATACTCCGTACTACTAATAATATTTTAATTTATTTTTTATTTTTAGGAAATGTTTGATTTTATTAGAAGGCAATAACATAATTTCCTAGGATCAGGAGGGAATAGTCCAATTCCATTATTCTAAATGGACGTTTTGGTCATTCAACATCCTAAAGAAAGTTCTTGGTCCATTGTTTCACCCAGATTTAATCCAAACTCCGATGTTCATTTCTCGTTCCAGAATGAGTTTAATCTTTGTAGAGACTTTTTGCCTTCTGCAAGTAAAGATGAACCCAATCTTGACCTTGTAAAAGGATAACAAAAATTAAGTTCCAGATCTAATCGATTAGTTCTTGAAAATCAAAACAAAACTGCAAGAAAAAAAAATTCTAATGCCCAAAAAGAAAACAAGAAATCAAAGGGCAGAGTTCTCAGACAAAAGGCCATTGATCTTCCACATACGAGAACGTGGGGGGAATCCGACGATCCCAAATTCAAGTCGAAGTTCAAACCTCCAAGAAACCCAGGCACAAAAAGCTCTCTTCTGTTCATCCATGGCGGAAACAGAGACTCATAGAGCTCTTCGAAACCAGAGATTCAAAGGAAGAAGGAACGAATCTCCAAATCGAATCCAGAATCGTCATCCTCCTCCACGCCAGCCCTCCGTTCGGTGTGGTTAAAGCAAATGAATCATCATCGAACCCAAAAAAAACAGAATTCAGCAAAAGAAGAAACTGTGAAACCTACGAGAAATCGAAAGATCCAATCGGAAATGGAATCTACGGGTCCAGAGGTATCCATCCAGATAGAGATTTTGATTTCGCGCCGTTTTGTATTTCACTCTGCGAATGAATCATCAGATCAGAGAAAATCATAGTCGGCGCTTTAGATCGAATTGAACAATTAGAAGAAAAAAAAACGATGAACTGCAAAATAATTATTTCTCCGGATCTGCGGATTAGAGGGTTTTGAATATAAGGGGAATTAAATTGGGAAAAAGTGGAGGACGATGAAGGGAAAAAGTGGGTGAATATAAGGGGAATTAAATTAGGGTTTTGAATAGTTCCGATTGAGCTGGTTGGGCTTTAAATTAAAACTTAGGAGTTCCGAGTTCGGGTCTTGAATGAAATTCGAGCTTTGGACAAGTTATATAAGCCCAAACCTGACCCGATCTTTATTTCTTTTAATGGTACATGCACTACCATGTTTATATTTCATCCGTCGCAAATTAATTGTCCTATTTTTTTCTTTAGTACGTCCCGGAATATGTCTTACTTGATCCATCCATGAATGTTTGTTCACTTTTGACTTTTGGCACTATTCATCTAAGCACGTTGACTGATCAAATTCTCTCAATGTGTTATGTGTGATCTTGTTTGATTCGTCTTAACATATAGATTATTAATATATAATTTTTATAATTTTTTAATATACAAATTACAAGATAAAATGGATTAAAGAAGTGCATTGGATGATGTGCAAAAATGAAAGTGGACAAACACTCAGGGACGGAGGGAGTACTTCTTTATTTTCTTAATAAATTAAAGAATATATGGGTTGCAATTCATCTCTTTTCCGAAATCAGATTTCAACTTCTCACTTTTTACTTTTCAACATTTTTCTTAAATTCTGTAAAGTCAAACTGTAACTATTAATTCGAAATAAAGGAAGTATAAGCTCATTAAATGTGTGGATATATGTTAAGGTGTTCAATTTTTTAAAGGTAAACATGTTAATATGTTACTTTGTACGATGTAAAACTCAGTAAACTTAATCATTCCCTCCGTCCCAATTTAGATCGTCTAAGATATATTTGTTTGCGGGAGAGAATCTCATTGCATTTTCATCTCAATGAAAACCCAAAACTTTCTCTCTTTAGAATTGCTCACTTTCTAACCATGGAGATCTCGTATACGTCAGTATTGTCTAGTGTTATGAAACCAACTCAACCACTAACTCAAATTGTCATTTAGCCAAATAAGTTTGCAAGGAGTTAAGTTGTGGCACTTACTACTTAGTTCACAACAAAGAGAATAATACATCATATTTCCCTAGTAGCAAATTGGACCTAAGAGACCACATTAGTCATGCACAAAAAAAATGGCCACAAAAAAAATTCCCACATCCAAAGATCATGGTCACAACAAGCTCCATCCATCCATCCATCCATCCATCCATCAATTCTACCTACCAAAGAAAGACAAAAAGAAGAAGAAGAGATAAATGGGTTTCTCCATTGAAGAAGCTAAGCTACCACAACAGAGTTGAGCTCCACCCTAAGACTGCAACCAATACTTGTGATGCGAAGATGGATTTGCAGTTCATCCGGCGAGGCGGCGTGCGGGAGGCCGCCGAGGTTAGATTCGAATCCACCGCCGGAGCTGTTCCGTTCATAAACGTCCCATTTTTCTCCCCTCTGCCACATCAACAGTTTTGTTTCAACATCATTATGACTCTCATTGAATGGGTCCAAAGTACTTATTTTTGTCATCCCCTTTATCCCAAAATAACTTTGCCCAATTTGGCTTTAAAAAAAGGGGTTGAAAGTGAAAATTATATGCTTAAAGTTTGTTAAGATGAGATAGAAATCCCACTTAAAATAGGAAATAAAGCAAGTGAGAAGTGTTTTTTTCAGTCATTTAAAAGGAAAAAATGGGTAGGGTTATTTTGGGAATGTGGGAGTGTGGGACTACTTTGGGAGTAGCAAAGTTCTTTTTTTTCATTTTTTGAGATGAATTACCTTCCTATTAGACATGAACCATGACCTGCAAGATAAAAATACAATTTGAAAAAAAAAAACAAGTCACAAAACAATTAAGGAGTATAATAATCAACAGAAATTAGAAATTACAGAGGCTTTAGAGCTCTTACTTGGATTGGTTGTAGTGACAGTTGCCACCCCATTGAAGTCACAACTCCCAGCAGCCTTCCCTGCACTCTGATAATACGCATTGAAAGCGTACGTGGCGTGGGCCCCCACCGTGTCCGGTTGATAGCACGGCCCGCCCTGCATCAACGGCGAGCAAACCACCTTCCCGGGCCCACAAGCCCAATCCAAAGCCGCTTGAAGCATCTTCCCGTCCGCCCCTTCTTTGGCCACACAATAAGTCTCCCTCGTGGTGTCGTTCGCCAACACCGAACCCGACCCGGTCAAATGCAAGATGTAAACCGGCTTGCCCGTCGAGTCGAACAGTCCCCAGTTCTTCTCCGAGACCGGCCCGGGTTTGGTGTCCTCATTGTACAGCTCGTAGATGTACGTGGATACCGGGATCCCCGGGTACTTCGGGGTCCCCGTTTTGTTTATGACGTGTTTGATCAAGTTGCTATTGTAAGTGTTGGCATTCTCCAAGGTGGCGTCCGGCTCGTTCTGGTCGCCTTTCGATGGCCAGCCCGACTCGGACACCACCACGGGGACGTTCGTGAAGTTGAGGTCTGCCATCGCGAAGTACGCGGCGTCCACCATCGCGTCGAACACGTTGGTGTAGTGGAGGAGGGTGTTGGAGTCGACCGCCTCTTTCGCGGCGGAGAGGGGGTTGAAGAGGGCGTAGTCCAACGGGATCACGCCGTTCGACTGCATGTACTCGTAGTACGGGTAGACGTTGATCATGAAAAACGAACCGGTCGACTGCAGAAACTCGAGCACGGGGACCAAAACGGGCTTCCACGTGTGGTTGAAGAAGGCTTGGGAGGGCGGGAACGAGTCGAGGATGATTGAGGACGCGAGCGGGGTCGAGACTTTGACCCGCTTCTCGAGCCCGGACGCGACGAGCGCGGAGTGCACGTACCGTAGGGCGGCGACCAAGACGCGGCCCGCGTTCGGGAGGGCCGAGGGGACCTCGGACCCCACGCAGACGGTCGTGATGTTGGTGGCGGGGTAGTGGGACACGACGTTTTGGGCCACCCAGTTCGCGGCGGTCGAGTTGGACTGGCCCACGCCGATGAGCTGGTCGTTGGGGATGGAGACGGCGACGCGGATGCCGGAGTTGGCGAGGGCTAAGAGCATGCCGCGGTCCGCGTCGTAGAGGCGGACGTGGCGGATTTGTTGGGCTTTGAGGAGTGCAACTATTTGTGTTGGGTGTGGCATGTCTGTCATGTCTGTTCCTATGTTCACTCCAATGAAAGCATCTGCATGTTTGACAAAAATAAAATAAAAAACATGAACATGAACATGAATTGTTTGTTCAAATCAAAGGTTATAAAAGTGCACAGACAAGATGAGCTGGAAAAAAAATGTTCTTTTTAATTCAAACTTTTGTTCATTTCCATCATCTTGGAGCCAAAATTTCACCATTTTTTGGCTTTGGGGTGTGATGGAATAAATCAAAATGGATCTCTAAACTATCTGCTCTTCTTTAATTAATGAAGTAGCAGTTAGTCAAGCAATGCAACTTTCGACGTTGAGCCGGGGGTCTCTTTGGAAACAGCCTCTCTACTTTCGAGTAGGGCAAGGTCTGCGTACACACATCCTCCCCAGACCCTACTTTTGTGGGATTTAACTGGGTTGTTGTTGTTGTTCATTTCCATGTTATGTCACACAAACAACAAAAGGTGACAAATGGGTAAAACACTAAACACAGTGTGGATTCCATTTCCAAGATTATATATTTTTTTTTTTTGAATTTGGGGAGTGGTTATAAATTTGGGCACAATTTTTTCAATGATGGAGGCAAGGAAAAAAATTGAAATATTCCCTTTTCAGTCCTCAAAAGCTTTAAAAATTGCAGATTGAATACAAATTTATTTAATGAAATAATTATAAATGGGGCCAATATCTACAGAAAGGGTATCAAACTATCAAAAATCAATACCCTTACACACACACTGCACTATGGGTTTGTTTTTTTCCTCAATGCCCTTACAAAGACAGCTCTTACATCTTCCCTTTTTTTTTTGCATTTCTCTTAGGTCCACAAGTTTCTTGAATTTGTACTTTCACACCTGATAATTAATGCTTCTGTACCAGAAACGCTAATTATCTCACTCTCATAATACACAAGTCTCTTAATTAATGACATAATTAATGACAACAATGGTAATGAATGTAAGGAGATTTAGAGTGACAAACTGTTTGCTTAATATAAGTGTGCAGACAAGTGAGGCATTTTCTCTTGTTAGTTTTGGTTAATTCAGACTCCAAACTTTATGTATCTGGACCATATTCTATTTTCAGATTCTAGATTTTTTCTCTCTAGATTTTCAGTTGCCACAATTTAGACAATAATAACCTAGGGTTTTGACTAAGGGTCTGTTTGGCAACGGTCATTTCACTAAAATAGCTGTATTTTTTTAATTTTTTTAAAAGTTTTGACTAAGGGTCTGTTTGGCAACGGTTATTTCACTAAATTAGCTGAGTTTTTTTTAAATGAAAAATCTTTCAGCCAAATAACCAAGTGAAGCATAAATCTTGTTACAGAATTATCAAACAACAGCACAAAAAGGATAATGCAAAAAAAATGGTAAGCAGAGAATGACCACTTTACCCCCAAAGCCCACAGGCAAATCACTGTGATTTTTGAAGGGTTAAGGTTTGAGGAGAGGGTGTTTTGGGGATTTTTTTTTTGAAAAGAAAGTGAAAAGAGCAGATAAGAAAATAACCAAGAAGATTTATTGAACTAAAGAATGAATTACTGTTCTAACCTTCATCGCCATTAACAGCAGAGAGTGTTAAGAGGAAGAGGAGGAAGAGAAACCCCATTTTTCTTGTAGCTCACTCACTCTGTGTTCAGACAGACAAATTGAAATTTAAGAGTGGATGGAAATGTGTAGAAGATGAGGGAGAGGGTGGGATAGTAAATGGCATGTGAAGAATGAATGAAGTGACAGAGATTGGGGTATAGAACCAAGAGAAAGGAAACAAAAACAAAACCAAAAACAAAAAAAGACATAAATTAAATTTTAATTGTAGATTAGTAGCAGAGCGTGCACCGGGTACTCATATGCTTAGCATAATTGTTTCCCGACACAATTGTAAGAAATTGAACTCGGATCTTACCCTTTGTCTATCTTTATCTATGCCAACTATGTAACACACGTCGTCAAAGGAATATATGATGGACAATTTTTTGGGGGTGCATGTGAATATGTGATGGGTTCTTTTTTACAAAATGGATTATAATAGTTGATCGAACTTATTTTTAATTTAATTTATTTAAATAAATGTATAAAATATTAAAGTAAACTTTATATTTTTGAAACTTAAGTTTAATGATCTATGAAAAAAGTGACCTGATTATATGCGTGCCAAAATACTAAGTAAAAAAGATACAGAGTACGAAATATAAGGTTATACTCCGTAATTTGTTTAGAAGAGAGTCATTATTTTAAAAAAATCACTCCGTATTTGCTTACATAGATATGTAATGAAGTGCAAATTTTCATTTGAATATTTTAATTCAAGAGAAAATTGTGAATTTCATTTTAATACAGAACAAGTATTAGATTGGCTACTTCTTCTCATCTAAGTTTTAATTGGATAATAGAGCATGAAACCAGGGCCGACATCGAAAAATGAAAAAATGAAATTGGCCCGGTCCTATATTTACATTTTGGATCCTATTTTATTATTTTAGAATACTTATGCTTCAAAATTAATGATGAATTTAAAAATATGATCCTCTAAAATTTTAGGGGCCCTGTGCGGTTGGTCACTTTGCACACCCTCCGGACCACCAATGCATGAAACTGTAATTTGGAAACTAGATTATACACTCAAAATTGGTTAATGTAAATTAACGAGTACTTTAATTTTAAATAAAACTTGTAGTCTAAGCTCTAAAGACTAAAATTAAAGTTGAAGTCTAAAATTTGGAGTTTTGGATCCCTACACTTGAAAAGGCCTAATCGGCTAATCTTAACCAAATAAATAATTAGATACGGAGTATTTATCAGTTTAATATTAGTGCTTCGTTTGACCAAAAAAAAAATTACTCCCTACTATATTGCTTTTTGTAATAAAATTGAATGACAAATTGGAACCATGGAAAAATGAAAAAGAAAAAAATTATTTTAAGAAACTAAAAGAAATCATTGTGTATTTTTAGCATTTTTGGATCAAAATGCTAAAAATAGTTAATAATACTCTATATGAAGTACAAGGAATAATGTTGAGTTTTTTGTAGATAATTTTTCAAAATGATAAAATTAAACGTTAAAATTACAAACATTTATTAATATTTCAATGTAAAATTTTCCTTCTAAACTTCAAATACCTGCAGAGTAATTTATGTTGGAATTTCGGTGGGCTGAGTGAATTGAGCAGAGTTTTATGTGAGATTTGACCACTTACCCATATAAAGTTCGGATCCACTTTCTATCCAAAAGTTTAAGTTAACGGGTAGAGCTGCACTTTTCCTTATATGAGAGTGTTATTTGTTTAATTTCTCTGATGTGGGATAAACCACAACACACGGTTCCAACAGTAACATATTGCAAAAAAATGAATCATCAAATCGTCCCCATCGACTAGGCCAACTAGGGTCGATCGGTAAGTATTTAAAAAATAAAAATACTCTTGGAAATTGAGAAATTCTAGATTCACAAACATAAGGATTACTAAATACACTAATTTATCATTTTTGTATTTAAATATTTATTTTTAGATTACTTTAAATAATTTTGTTCTATTGGTAAAGTGCACAAATCGTAAGATTGTATATTTTGAGATATTTATATTTGTGATTCTAGCATTTCTCTTCAAACTCGTGAGAAAACTTTCAAATTCAGACCGGTCAGATATTCGGCTCTCAAAATGACCAGTTTAACTTGCAAGTTCGTTTTGAGTTTATAAAACTTTGGTTTTGTTATAAAAAAATGAACCTCAATCTAGGATAGCGAATAAATAGAGTTGAAATCTCAAATGACTAGTAAGATATCTTCTCGACATGTACAATGACCTCATGTTAAACATGAAAATCTCTTGCCAGAAATCAAATCTGTTCAGTTACACTATAGCACTACCTTTTGACCATTTAAATTGCACTACTTAATAGGAACAGAGATAAAATATTACTGAGATACAAATAATGAAACATTTTCTATTTATGAGTTACGGAGTAATTACAAACAATGAAACACTTTTGACATGTTGCACATTTAAAATTTTGATTACAAGTAACTATTGACAACAAATAGTTAAAATTATGGTATATAAATTGGAATGGTCGAGACTCATAGGGAACATCTTAGAGCAAGGTGGGAGGCCATAAGAGAAATTTGTGGGGTCAATGTGAGACAACATTGGACTTCGTTGACTGGCGTGAAAAAATATGGATATGTTGGCCAACGGCTATATGGCCTATTTGTAACGATTATAATTCAAAAAAGTACGAAGTGTTATTTCTCATGTCTAGGGGTGGGTCACGAAAAATTGAAAATCATATCGAAATTGATTGAATGGTGTCAAAAAAAAACTAAATTGAAAGAATAATAACCGAATGTGAAAAACCGAACTGAACCGTTTCCAAACTGTTTTTTTTTGTTTTGGGCTATGAGAACCGAACCGAATCGAGAAATACCAAAATATGTAAATTACCACCAAGAGTTCTAAGATGAGAAGTAATAGCTTATCATTTTTGTTATTGTAAGCCTCCATTTTTTGTAGGTTTAATTGTTTAAGTTGTTTCGTTTTTACATATTTAATCATTAAAATTCTTTTTTCAAGTTTAATTGTTTTGATTCTGGTAAGGCTCCATTTTATGTCTCTATTTATTTTTGAATATTGAAAATAAGATTAAAAGATGCTCCATATAAAATTTTAAATTGCTTCGTTTTTTTTACATATTTAATTTTGAAGATGCAAGTTGAAGTTTAGAAATAATGTTTAGGACTTTAATTACACATTGATGTGACTTCTTGGACTTTTGTTTTTCTATTATGAACAATTATGAGGTTGCGTTGGTTTTTTAAATGTGAGCAAGTATAAACTCTATGCACTTCCTCAATTTTGGTCTACAATTCTAGTGTTTGGATAGATATTTGCAAGTGTTTGTATTTTTTTACAGCTTTTTTAATGTAATAAGTGTGATATACTTTTAAAAAATATTTTTTAAAACTGAATAACCTACAAATCGAGGGCTGAATCACATAAAACTAAACCGAAAAATTGATCGCTCCCTTTTTTTGAAAAATCAACCGAGCTACCAAATTAACTTACGTTCTATCTTTGATTTTAGGTAAAAAAAAATCGAACCGAAAAAGCCGAACTCACCCCTACTCATGTCCCACAAACCTAACTACACAATCACCTCAGAACCTTAGATGCATAAAATAATAATAATAATAACAATAATAATAATAATAATAATAATAATATAATAGTAATAATAATAATGGGCATATCTTGTAACATAGCAATAACAACAAAAAAAATAAATACGGAGTAACCTAGTTGAATTCCATGATCTGGGAATGATGTATGTACGCAGCTGTTAGCTCTACTCAACAAATGACAGATTGTTTAAAAAATACTTATAAAATAAATAAACACAACTTCTATTAAAGATTGTCAAAAGGATCGTACCGAACGGATTGAACTAGTCTTTTAGAAAGATCTGTATAATTTAAGGTAGTGTGAAACAACCTAGGAATCCATGGTCAAATGATTCAAAATTTATCATTCAATGTCCTATTCGACATTGAGTAATAAGTTCTGGCCATCTGGCCATCGATGTTAATTTTAGGCGAATTTTTGATATTTTGAGGAATCAATTGTAATAAAACAGATTTTGACCTACTTCTCGGATATGAGGCTTTCTAGGATATTTTTTTCTTGTGAAATACTCCAATAAACCAACTTATTGAGAATACACTTGCAAATTTCATGATGGGATCTTCGTGGGTTTTGGATGATTCAAGCATAGATCTTTGTATGATCGAATTTAATCGATCCAAAAGTGAGCGCCAAATGATGGCCTCAATTAATTCGACTGATTTTTATTATTTTTACCATGTAAAAATAAGAAGCGAGTCTAACAATCACTAAAAATCCGAACAACTAATTTTTTACGTGAAAAATTAAATCGGGAGAAAACCACTAGTTTTTTTTATAATACCTTTCCAACAGGAATATTTTATTAACATCGAGAATTTGTACACTGTATATAATATTGGCTTGAAGCCAATGATGAAGTTTATAGCTCATTTTAAAGAAACTATGAAGCTATTTAAACACGGAGATGGTATTTGAGATTTTGAGATGAGTGAGTAGGAGAGTTATAGTAGATAAGCCCCCCTCGTTTTGAGGGAGTGGAGATAAATATGATAAAGAGTGAATTGTAGAGATAATTATGATAGGTAGTGAATGAAGTATTTGATTATGATAGGGAATGAATGAAGCAATTGATTATGTGTATATAGTTATCGTAAGGAGTGGATTAGGTGATGATAGAGTAATTTGTGGATAATAATTGGTGATGATAATTATAGTAAAATTAATTACTAATTGAGAAACTTAGACCGAGATATCCAGACCAGATAATATTTTCTGTCACCGAATATCCAGTTTTTCTGGCTTTGGTACGGTTTTGGACTTGTGTTCACCCCCAATTTTTCTTAATCAAATCAATTGAGAATGTCTCGATCCCAATGACAATATGAAAGCTCACACTTCCAAAGAACTTTTTTTACTACATAATCGAATGATCAGTTGCTTTGAACCAATTACAAAAAAGTAGTTGGCAAACAGGCAACAAACTATATCGCAACCCCGTTTTGAATAGCAAATTGACCGTACTAAAAATAAAGTTATGCGCTTTTGGGGTCAACACATTACTGAGCGTGGCCCACTAGACCTTGTTAAAAAATTACTAGGCCTCTGCAACTAGGGAACCAAATATCTCAAAAGCAAATGGGATAAATACATGTTGATTTTTCAAGCAAGCGTTCTCGTATTTAACCACTTTGCCTGAATCCGCCTTCAAAATTTTATGGCCAAAAACAAACTCACTATAAGTCAAACAAGATGGGACACACTTGTAAGGTCCCCACAATCTTGTTTTTCCTTGCCCACCCAAACACAAAAATATCAGTTGACCTTAGAGTATATCTCCATTCAAATGAACCTGTCAGAATATTCGCTAGAGCCTCTTCTTAGTCAAAATCTCAACTTGCTTTAGAACATCACATAAACATCCCTAGCTCCAAAGACTATTGAATTCCTAAACAAAATCTAGCGGGTCGTACATAATAATGTCTCGATCCTAAGGTCAAAAGAGTTGACAGAAAAAAGTCAAAACTGATCAGATACTCTATGACTGACGTACTAGTATCACCCAAATGGTGTAACTGTTGCCAAACGAGCATCACCCAACTAACATGAATGGTCGATTTTTCTCTTAGAATTAGGCCATGCTTGGCAATAAATTTTTTTGATTAACGCCAGTATTGTTTTTAAACCTAAACTCTAAACATTACCGTTAGGTAGCCATGGTTGCCAAACAAGCCCTTGTTGTTATGGAAAATCAAACGGTTATTACTTGTGCAAGCCAATATCTTTTTCAGAATCTAGGGTCCTTTTGGTACACAAAATTAATGGAATTGGAAGTTGGAATTCTATAATGGTATGTTTGGGAACATGGATTTGGATTTCTAATCCGGATTCGGCTCAAATTCCATGTTTGGGAAACTTAAAAATTTTGAATTTGGATTTGAGCCAAATTCTTTTCAATCATAACAAAGCTTAATTTGAAATCCATGCACCTCCTCTTGTCATTTGAAATTCAAGATTTCAAATTTTGAAATTGAAATGCATGAATTGAAATGAAATGCTAGTTGCCAAACACTACCTAGAATTAATTTGGGTGGAATTGAATTCTCTAATTCCACTTCATTTTTGGCGCTACCACTTTCAAATCTACATATTTTTGTGCTACCAAAGAGTAAAATTGGAATTGTTGTTCCCAATTCCAATTCTCTAGTTTGAATTTCGTGTATCAAACAGAACCTAAAGTAAATGAAAATCTGCAGAAATAACACTGTAATTGATTTTCCCTTTTTTTTGACATTATTCAAATTATATGTTCCCCTAATATTTGAACCTTAAGCAAGAAGTCTTAGAACGGTAGAAATAAGATAAAATTTAAAAAAAGCCCTAATAAATCAAATCTACTGCTTATCTTATCCGACGTTTAGAGCAAAATCAATCCTGATTCTTCTTCATCTTCTCCAAGCGATCGCTGAGCTGTTCGGCGCGGAGGACGAGACCGGTGACGGAGAAGAGGAGCCAGTAAAAGACGAGGGCGGCGGCGATGAGGAGGGCGTTGCGCTGAGACTTGACCATCGACTTCTGGTGGCGGAGGTGCTCGGAGGGGGAACACGATCCCGGCGACTCGCAGGCGGGATGCGTCTCGTATTTCCAGTAGATATCCATCAACAGGAAGACGCAGAAGGGGACGATCGACAGGAAAGGTTTCAGGAGGCTCCGAATTACGCTGATGAGGCCCTTCCGGAGCGGGCTGATGCCCGGTAGGGTTAGCAGGAGAAGCATGACCGCCTCTGCTCCGGCGGCGTAGCCTAGCACAACCCACTCTAACGCCATTGTCGATTCGATCTGGTTTTTTGTTTTCGTTGACAGGGGAATTGAGGCTAAAATGCAGAGTAATATTTCCGGGTCGTTGGAGAAGAAGGATCCGGAAATGAAGCGACGGTTCCTTATGCGCGAAGCACTTTACTTTAGAGCGGGCCGGGTTATGAGTTTAGGCCCGCCTTTCTCTGCAGCCCAGTTTGTAGACAAGTACTCCGAATAAAATTTTGGAAAAATTACCCAAAATAATCCCAACTTAATCCGGTATTTCAAAAATAATCCCACATTTCACTGTGATGCATAATAATCCCAACTTTATTGAAATATGTCAGTTTTGGGTCGCCGTTAAGTTTCTAACGGAGGGTTAACGAAAATGCCCGTTTTAGGCAACAAAATGAAAGTTGAGATTATTTTTGATGAATTTTTGTTTTTTAATTTTTTTTGAAATTTTTATTTAAATTTTTTGAATTACTTTCAACCTCCATTTCTTTTTCTTTTTTAAAGATTATTCTTACCTTAGAAAAAAATAGATATAAAAAATAATGAAAATGAGAAAAATAACTAAAACCATACAAAATTAATCAAATAAATAATGTAATCAATAGAAATTAAACAGAAACT